TCTTAAAGATTTAGTTTTCTCAAGTATAAAATGGAATGATGTCAGGATTGAAAGAAATTATGGTTATAAAACCCTTAGCAAATGGCCAAACATAGGAAAAAACTCAATATGTTACAATATGTGTTGTTATTATAATTATGTATTGGTCAGGGGAACATTTTTTTTTTAATAAGGTCGGCATAGCTTCTCCACCAGAGTTAGATTATGCCTTTTGAATGATCTCTGTTGCATCAAAAACAGTTCAGAACACAAGTTTTTCTAAATTGTTAATTTCTCAACCTCTTTCTCAACCACTTTCTGCCCAGAAAATCCCTTGCATCTCTTGCCATTATCCCATTTTACATTAGGTCAGCGCCATAGTGGTCTCCCTCTTCTTATCCTCTCCCTTCTATATATACCCTCACTTATGTGGGACCTTCACCAAATATGGCATTTCTTTTTTTAAAAAGATTTATTTATTTATGCATACAAGAACTGGGGTATAGGCCAGATGTGTGGGGGGAGAGAGGATTCAGACAGAGTGGGGAACAGAACAGGCAGACTGAAATACACTGCTGAGGGCAGCAGCAGGAGAGTCAGGAGAGGTCTGCTATGCCATGTGGATAGCTCCCTGGCTGGGGATCATACTCGTGCTATGGTGGCTGTGGATAGCTTTATAGATTGTGTTAACCCCTTGCACCACCAGGGAGGCCTTAAATACAGCATTTCTTTAGGAAATTATACTTATTTATCAACAAGATTTTACTCACTGAAGAAAAAAAATCTCAAGATAAATTCACACCAGTTAAGTTCTGGAAGAATTAACTTTCAGATATTTAATTCCAGATCTAATTAGATCACCTTGAAGACAGATTTAATGAATGTTCTGTGGGTATTCATAAGACAAAAGGATTTTCTTAAGAATTGATGACTATGTTTGTGTTTACTCTGATTTTTTTTCTGAGTGCATTTTGTATTCATGGAAAAACAGTAGTAAAACCTCAAAATATGAGAAATGAAAATATGAGACTTTGATCAAGAATTAGGAAAGATTAACATTAATTTACAAATTCTGTTATCAGATGTACTGTGGAAAGTTACATATATTTCAATTTGCTTCTCCTTAAGAGACATTGCTTGAGTGAGTGCATGTGTTATAATAGTATTGACGTGGGCTTTCTTAATCCAAAACATTATGTTTGCTTATCTAGTTAATTATTTGTTAGATGACTTTTTTATTAGAAGCTATCACATCAGAAATTCTTTATTCTGACTAAATGATATATAGTTTTATCCCCCAAGATTTTCTTTTCCATTTTAAATCATCTTTATATAATTTTAAAAGCCACTAGTGGCTGCTGTAAAATCAGTCATTAAAGTTAAGTTGTCAATGATTGGCTAACTAAAATTTTTTATTGAATAATAGTAACAACAATGGTAGGTACACACCATGGCAAACTACAAAGTTATAACGATGCAGCAGGGATCATTTAGTATTAAAAATGGATTTTTGTTTCAAGGAACAAATAAGGTAAGCATATACATATGCTCATATTTTCCAGAACTTTCAGAAGCAAACACTTTACATTTCAATGTATTCTTTCCTTTATTTAAAACTAAATAAAAGCTATCTTAAGTATATGCTAAAGCAGGGTGCTTTCCAAAGCAATTACAATATTGATCACATCTAATTTCCTGTTGTTATTTGCTACCTCCATCACAGTAGCAGCATTGAGCATACCTGCGTCTGTCTTTGTATTAGGCTGTAGCTACTAAAGTTACAGCTTGAGATGGAGAAATAATTTCCTATTTTGGATAATGTAACACTTATTCAGAAAATTCCTATTGAGCATTACTATATGCCCAGATGCTATTCTAAACCCTGGGGATAAATACATGAGCAGCACATACATGATTCTACTTCTACACAGCTTGGGTTCTATTGGACATCATGAAAGTCATACTGGTAATATGAGAAATAGTGGACAGTTTCAAATGATCCATATCAAAAAGATCAGAAAAACAAGTGTTGGCAAGGACATGGAGAAAAAGGAACTCTTTTACATTGTTGGTGGGAATGTAGACTGATCTTGATGCTATAGAAAATAGTATGTGGGATTCTCAAAGTGTTTAAAATAGATCTACCATATAATGCAGTTATTTCACTCCTAGTTATCTATCCTAAAGGAAATAAAAAAAAAAACTAATTTGAATGGATATGTGCATGCCCATGTTCATTGCAACACTATAACCAAATTATGGCAAAAACCTAAGTGGTCCAGAACATATGAGTGGATTTTGAAGATGTGATATATATATACACAATGGAATACCACTCAGCTATAAAACAAGATAAACTCTTGCCATTTGCAACATCATGGATGGAACTGGAGGGAATATTGCTATGTGAAATAAATTAGAAGAAGAAAGATAAATACCAGATGTTTTCATCTACATGAGGAATATAGGGAAACAAAACAAAGGGTCAGACAAAATCACACCAATAGCAAACCCTAAAAATCTAACTGCAGAATTGAGGCATGGGGTGGGGAAGGAGGTTAAAGCAGAGTGGAAAAAGTGCCCAATAGACTTTGATGGATGTCTATAGGTGCCATGGTGGTGGGTGTGGTATAACATGCATCTGAAGGGTATGATCCTATACCTCTGGTGGTTGTAAAGCAATATTTTAGCAATAAAATACATATCATTTATAATATATGATATATATATATATACTAAATATATATATACACACTAAATATATATATATATATATATGTAGCATACATATATATAAAGGTCAAATGTCAAATGATAACCAGGTAATATGGGATAGGAACAAGTAATGTCATTACAATTTTTTTCAGTTTTATTTGTAGAATTATTGCAACATTTAAAAATATATGAGTGCATATTTTCATGGGTTATTATATCTTTTTTAAAAATAATTTTTATAATCTAAAAGATGTCCCCACTTATCACAGTGTTACCTATATCTGTGCCATGCTGGTATATGAGCAGGCATTGAGTCACTATTTTGCTCTGAGTTTATTTACTTGGCACTCTTTAGATAGTGCCTGGAAGAATCCACATGCTTTCCACACATCTACCTTCTAATTTGCTATTTCAGGTGATTAAATTTTACTTTTATTTTTTAAGGGAGCTCATATTAAACTTAAATCTTGCTGTAGCTCTGAGAAACTGTTTTGTAGCATGCACTCTTTCTCTGTTATCTCATTCCTCTCCTTACCCACTGCCTATTATCTTAGGAAATATCGTCCATGAAAAGCAAATTCATCAGAAAACTCAAGACATGATAAAATAATGAATTTGAGCATATCATAATTTGGAAACTAAGATAGAGAATGTTCTTTCATAATAAGTTGAAATGGCGGTTTTGTCCTGTATAAAATGAGTTTAGCTATTGACATTGGGTGTCTCGAGTGATAGGCCATTAAAAATGGGACCATGGGCCTCCCCAGTGGCGCAGCGGTGGAACACTGGGTTGCGAAGCTGCCCGCAGCCTCTGCAGCGCCGGTTCGATACCCGGCCACCGGAGGAGGGTCCCACATGGCGCGCAGACCTCTCCTGCCGCCCTCTGCTCCCCTCAGCAGTGTACTTCGGTCCTTCTGCCTGCTCTGACTCTGGTGAATTCTCTCACCCTCCCGCGCTTCTGACTGTGCCCAGTGCGTGTATAAATAAATAAATAAATATTAAAAAAAAAAATGGGACCATAAACTGATATGTGAACATAATTTGCTAAATAAGCATCTGAAAAACAACAGGCAAGCATGTTGGATGTGTATGTATACTAAAGGTGTTGGATGAAGTAGTCATCCTTTGGTGGGTTTCTTATTAGTTGAGAAACAAATGTGAATATGTATACATATATACATATACACATATTATATATATATATACACACAGAGTACATACATTTATTTATTTTTAAAGATTTATTTATGCATACAAGAGTTGGGGTACAGGCCAGAGGTGTGGGGGGTGGTGAGAGGATTCACCAGAGACAGAGTAGGGAACAGAAAAGGCAGATTGACCAAAGTACACTTCTGAGGGGAGCAGTAGGCAAGTCAGGAGAGGTCTTCTGTGCCATGTGTGTTGCTCCCTGGCCAGCTGGGGATTAAACTTGTGCTGCAGAGGCTGCGGATTGCTTCATAGGTTGCATCTTAACCCCTTGCACCACCAGGGAGGCCCCCATATTATATATATTTACATTTGCTTTATCTCTCTCTCTCTCTCTCTCTCTCTCTCTCTCTCTCTCTCTCTCTCTCTCTGTGTGTGTGTGTGTGTGTGTTCAAGTTCCCCTTTGGTAACTGCTCTTCTTTTTTAGGTAGGACTTATTTTTCAAATCCCTTTTATCAGTCAGTGCCCAGTCAAGAAGACAGTAACAATATCTGATACTTTTAACAAAAAGGAAATTGCTTAAACAATTGTAAAGGACGAGTTCTGAAATTTCTGAGAGCTAGTAACTACAGTAAGTGCTCCACCATTTAGGTGGCGGGGGTATGGAAGAGGAAATTTGAAGTTTTTGTATTCAGGAATCTTGGAGGAAGGCCCATGATCCAGGTATCCGCAGGATGAGGTTGTGACAAGATTGTTATACTAAACCAGAAACTCAGAAGGAACACTTAAGAACCTAAACATAGCCCTCTAATGAGTAGACACTGAGGCATTAATCCTACTGTTTCTGTGAGCACTCACAAGGCTGTTTAGGGAAGACCAAAGTAGAGTAGAAACTAAACAACTGCCATTTTTGAAGTGACACCTGAAGGAACAGCAAGAAAAACTGAACTAAGAAAGTCCTTTATTACTTCCCCAGACTTCTTGTCTCCTCTTATTATCCCTAGACAGAATCTGATGTGGAACTTGCTGGAAACGGAGAAATATATTTGTTGAACCCCTCACCCTCCAACAGTAAATAGAATATGGAAGGCTGTTTCTTGATCTGAGAGACAATAGATTGTGACAGCATAATTTTTTTAACCAAGTTTTACTGTTACAAAGTATTCCCAGTAGATGTACTGCGGAGACTCCCTCACCTGGCACAGACATAAAGTCTAAACGTATCTACGAATAAGGTGAATGATAAGCCATAAATTAGGATGATGGTGACAATAATTTGGGGAAAAATATGTTTATCTTGCCCCATTTTGGTTCAAAATTGTATTAAGTCCTTCAGAGATATCATTTCATGTAATCCACCAGCCTTGTTAGGGAAGCGGGATTATCTCCATATTATCTCCAAAACAAATCCCACTCAGATGATTTAAGTTACGTCAGTCAGAACGCAGGATTCTAAGTAAGCTCTGTTCAACAACAAAGTAAATACTGACTAATGTAGAATAAAGCAAATATAGAGTTATTAAGGAGTCAAATATAGAGATAATTAATTAGTGGGGGATGAGGAACAACAGAAGAAAGGTACATTGACCTTGTTCCTAAAGAAATACTCACCCAACCATGGAGGTATTGAATTCTGTCAAGTACTTGGGCTCTTGTAGTCTTGACGTTATGTGTCTTTTGCCACAAATTGGTATAATCCAACATTGTTTCTCCTCATTCTCATGCCTTTTATTCTTGCCTCCGCCCCGACTTTTCTGTTGCTGCTGAGACATGAAACACCAGGACACATGTTTGGTTGCCACACATGTGTAACCCATATGTGCAGGGGGAATTCATAACTTTTTTTTTTGTTATTTTCTTTTCATAAGTTTTATTGAGATATAATTCATATACCATATAACTCACAATTAAATTGTGGAATTCAGTGATTTTTAGTATATTTATAGGGATATATAACTATCACCATAATAACGCTAGAATATTCTCATCACCCAAAAAAGAAATCACATACTCATTAACAGCAATTCCCCATCTCCCCTCAAACATACCCGCAACTCTAGACAACTATTGATCTATGTTTCACCTCTGTAGATTGGCTAGTTCTAGACAAGTTACATAAATGGACTCCAACAGTATGTGATCTTTGTGATAGGCTTCTTTTAATTAGTATAATGTTTTCAACGTTTATCCATGTTGTAACACGAATCAATCTTTTTATGGCTGAATTTTCCCTAATGCTGTTTTGGCTACAAATTCATACCTTTTGGATGGAGCTCTGTGCAAGCAGTATGAAGGGAATTTATAATCATGGATTAATTTTTCTCCCTTTCTTGCCATTGATGGACCCTTCAGACGTAAAGTAACTTCATATAGCCTCTCTGAAGAGGTCTTCAAAAGCTGGTCAAACAAATTGTCACAAATTCTGCCATCTCTATAACACGGTGTGTATTTCTCCCCCCTCCACTCCATTTTTCTTACTCTTGCCACCTTGGGATTATTGTCCCCCATAAAATTGTTGTGCAAAAAGCTGTTGCAAAGATTTTTTTGGTGGGGAAGTGGTGTTTCTTGGTTGTAGGAGAGATCCCTAGGCTAATACAATGGGAAACACATTTTTCTTTGTGCCTGGAAGTAATATCAAATATTTATCATTTTAGACAGTTAGGTGGAAGATACAGTCAATGAAACAAAGAAGGGAGCCATGAGTTCTGGGAGAAATCTGAGGGTAGACCTGACACCTCCTGCCTTTCGGAATGAAAACTTGTTATCTCGATGATTAGTTCCTGTGCTGATTATTCAAAATAAAATGATTAAATGAGGCCTCATGTGTAATAATACTTTATCCCTGTAGAATTTTTCTCTTGCTACTTCAAACCTCTGTTGATGTCCATACAATGTCATATTCTCTGAATAGCCTCCTACACTCAGAATTAATGACTGATTTCATATCAAACCCCCCAGAAAGAATTTTCTGACCTTTTTGCTGAACTTTTGAGACTATTAGGGCACTCTGATATATGTTTCTGAGATCTTTTAATATTTTCTATCATGGTATGTACATCGTCTCTTTCTGCACAATATGTTTAATTTCTAGAAGCTAATAGAAGTCTCATACACAGTAGGCATTTAATCTTTGTTCATTCCATTGACTGAATCTAAAAATTTCTGAGGAACTTTGATCAGGTCCCTAAGGAAAGAAATCCTGAATCTGGCTCACATGCAATGAAGTATTATGGCAATAAAAATTTCATGGTGTTAAAGTTTTTACATCTCTGCCTATTTTCATAACTCCCCACCACTAATTTGTTTAATTAAGTCTTTGAATACTCTGATAATGTGCTAATTTAGAAGCACCATGTCATTACATCACATCAAATTAACCCCAGTTTTCTGCTAAATAGGTAGAAACCAGATTTGAACCTAGTCGGCTGATGCCAAAAAACTCAGACCTGTTTATTCAAATAACTGCTTTATACAAATAACAAATCCCTCAAAAGCCAACTAGGGTATTGATTGTACTTCAGGATCCAGGAAAAATAAAGAATAATGGTCAAGGGTAAGAGAGAGAGGAAAATAGGTTTGATGTTCTAGACATAAAAATATTGATTCAAAGGTGTTTTTTTTCCTTGGGAGTATCCTGAGGATGTAGTCATGACAGATCATTTAGTTGGGAGGGAGATGAAGGCAGGAATACATCTAGTACAGAAGGTTCTCCATAGGTGACTGTCAGTGGCTAAGGGCAGGAAGAGGCAATAATGAAAGCTGCAGAGTTGAGGGCCACAGAAAAGTTAGTGAAAGATAGTTCTTAAATTTTATACTAAGACTGGGACGCTGGCCTAGACAACCCTTGATAAGATAAGAATTGTAGTTACAAGATGAATTGTTAGCTGTCTCATAGCTGTCTCATGAATGATGTCATTAGGACTCATTGCATTTCTTTTGGAGGATTTTATATATATATATTTAACAGTGGGTAATCTGCATATATATATTAACAACCCTACTTTCATTTTGGTGTATCATTCACTATGTGACCATTTCAGATTAGATTATTCACCTCATCTGCTTTAGTTGTCATGTGTTCAAAATGAAGATCATGGTAGCATTTATTTCAGGGGGTTATAGTGACCATCAACAACTTAATACATATGAAGCACTTGTCCCAATAGTAATAGAGAATGTTCCATAAATGCTCATTATTTATCACTTTGTGATTTTTTTTTTGGTGAAGTTCTTGTAGGTAAATCTTCCATCCTCTATGTTTTGACTAACAGGGTACATTTTTTTTAAAGATTTATTTATTTATGATTACAAGAACTGGGGTAGAGGCCAAAGGTGTGGGAGGTAAGAGGATACACCAGAGTCAGAACAGGGAACAAAACAGGCAGGTAGATTGAAGTACACTGCTGAGGGGAGCAGCAGGCAATTCAGGAGAGGTCTGCTATGCCATGTGGGTAGCTCCCTTGCCAGGGATCGAACTCACTCTGCAGAGGCTGAAGACGGTGCTGCAGACAGCTTCACAGCACTGCACTGCGCTCAACCCCTTGCACCATCAGGGAGGCCCTAACAGGGTGCATTTTAAAAATCATCAGTAATATGGACTATTGCTTTCTGACACCTGGGAAATAATCCTTGATATTCCCAAAGCTGTTAAATATCCACCATTTGTGAATGACCTTTATCAAGTGCTGTCCTAGTCTGGGGAGGCAGGAGAGTGACTTGAAGGTGAAATACCCCGTTAGCTATCCCCCAGGTGAGTGGAAAATTTAAAATAATATTCTAATGATTCATTGTACATTACTATGCCCCATTAGGTGCCTACATTACATCTTAGGGTACAATCAATATCTGTCATCTTGCTTATGGCTTTGGTGCTAGAGCGGTTCAATTTCATTTTGCAACTCTCATGCTCATGAAGCTGTAGTTCAGGTGTCATATAATAAAATATTACTCAGAAGTACAAATTCACTCCTAAAGCATAGTGAGATATAATTGATGAAGAAGGTGTCATTCCATCTGGTCAAATATCATTAAAGCGAGGATATGATTGATAAGTCAAAAAAGTAACCTTCTATGAAACTTCTTGGTGATTCTATGTGAAAGGTTGTGTGTCTGTGCCTTTGGGTGTGAGTGTGTGTGTGTGCATGTACACATATTCCATACCCAAGAGAGTATCTTCAAAAGCATTTTTCAAACATTTAAACTACATTGCCACTTATGAAAGTTTAATATAGGTAAGACTAGTTCATACATACAGCTTTTATATAAGTAGTGGTACTCTCGTGTAGACATATGCTTTCTTCTGTTAATTTTTATTTTTAAACATTACTCAGTTTTAAGCTTTGGCAAAGTTTAAGGGAAAGACTCCAAAGCATCCATGGGTAAGTAAGAAACTGGTTGTCATTCTAAAACAAACTAGTGAGCTAACTAAATAACCTATATTTTAAGTTGTTTTCTTTCAGAACTGGAATGCCAAATGACTGCCCCCTCTTTTTCTTGCTGGGTGCCATCATGTGGAACCCAGAAATGCACTCTAATAAAAATATCCTCCCCACATATTCTACCAAGTAGAAAGTCATTTGAGTTAATAGTGGCTTGTATTAGAATTTAAACATATCTGAGAGGGTTAAACCCATCATCTGGTGATTCATACAAGCATGAATTTTTGAAAATGTTAAATGTATGATTTATTTCTAAATTGAGATCAGACATAAATGTAAATTCTGTTTAAGAAGGAGGGGGTAGGAAATAGAGCACAAATAATAGTTCAGAACACCATAGCTTAGCATAGGCCTTACACAGTGTAGAGCTTTTCATAGACAAACATAACATGTGTGTGTGTTGCGGGGGGGGGTATACATAAGCCAAAGAGGACTCTACAAATAGTTGGATAAGAACTTCAGAAATAAATTTAACTGGTATTGCTTTTCCACTCGAGATGTTTTTGGCTGCAGGTACCACTTGATATTGCTCTGGGAAATCACCAATAACATGCAGTCTCACACTCATATGCTCGAAGTGCTCCTAAATTGCCCAACTTTATAAAAAGGAGGGACATACACAATTATTATATCTGTTGGCATTTGCCTTGGAATTAAACATACTACTGTGACATGGGGAAGGGACTGTCTTAAAATGATTGAAAATGTTTTAATTTGATCATTAATACCTGTATATATTATGATAAGCAGGGTTTACTATTTGAAGATTTGATAGATGATAATAATTTATTTGGTTTCTTTTAAAACACTGAAAAATTCAAACATTTTGACAGTGGTTTCATTGTCACACCTTGAAGGAACACTTTGGAATTTAGAATACTGAATTGAGAATCACTGTATGGAATATAAACTGATACTGGAATTGAGAAAAAGAGGATATCCTGAAAGAGGAGAAGGACCTAGAAGCTCACTTACTGTATTATTTCAAAGATTGGGGAGTAGCTGTAGAATAAAGGTTGCTACAACCAGGTAGAAACAAGAATTCTGATTGGGACAGTCTCAGAGGCTGCAGGTGATTATAAACTTTGTTGAGATCAACTGAGCTACCTTGTTATTTTCTTTTATCATGGATATTTCCAGATTTTGTACCCTGAAATATAAGACACTAGAAAGCTTCTTTACAGTGTTTCATCAGTTACTATTTTTATATATCTTTGAGGGACTGTAAAATATCCCTAATATATTTTAGAATGCCATGACAGGAAAAAGACTAACAAACAGTGAAGAGTATACCTGGATGGTTGGAATAGAAGTTTCTTTCTTTTTAAAGATTCATTTATTTATTTTTGTGTAGAAGAACTGGGGTGTATGCCAGAGATGCAGGGGGAAGGGGGTGAGAGGACTCACCAGAAACAGAATGGGGAACAGAATAGGCAGATTAACTGAAATGCACTGCTGAGGGGAGCAGTGGGGGGAGACAGGAGCAGTGTTGCTCCCTGGTCAGGCTCAAACTCAGGCCTTAGTGGTGAAAGCATGTTAACCCTGAGACTTACCCCCTAAACAACCAGGGAGGCCTCCAGGAATAGATAAGTTGCAATCAGTGTAGTAAAGTCAGTTCTCTATTTCCTTTGTCATTTTTGCTACAGAATCAAACACTACCTCTTCCTCGCTCTTGGAAGGAGTCAAAGTCTCCCCATAATTTAGGATAGCTGTAAAGTACTCCTTATTAGGGGCCCTCTCTGGTGGTGCAAGGGGTTGAGATGCAACTGATGAAGCTGTCTGCAGCCACTGAGGTTCGAATTCTATACCAGCCAGGGAGCTACCCACATGGTGCAGCAGACCTCTCCTGGCTTGCCCACTGCTCCCTTTAGCAGTATATTTCATTCAATCCTTCTGTTCTGTTACCCACTCTGTCTCTGGTGGATCCTCTCACCCCCCCTCCATCTGTGCCTCTGGCCTGTACCCCAGTTCTTGTGTGTATAGATGAATGAATCTTAAAAAAAAAAAGTACTCCTTTTAGGTAGATTTCTGACTTTCTCATTTAAAGTCTAAAGTTAAGAATTTTGTTGAGGTAAGCAGGATTTTTCAGTAGCCTGCTATTTATTCTCATTTCCTTTGTCAATTCCTATTTCTAACTTACATGTTGCTATGAGATGAATTTACTTTAAATACTTGCTTGTTTTTGGAGCAATTCCTTCTTGAAAAAAACCAACCAATATTCTGTTGTTCTTGTTTGCAATCCATGTTTCTCTTCCTAGACTTCAAGACCATCCTCAGTTTTCTTAACACATTAATTTCCTGCCCCTTTTGTATATAAATTATGCTTCCCTCCCTCAGTTTAACTCTCTTCCTCATCAGCTCAGTCTTCATAAC